GTACCTGGGCTGGGGTTCAGCCAGAACTGAGAAAAGCAGATATCCAAAAGAACTTACATTTAAGTCTATATGGGGTTCTCTGGAGAATCTTCAAAATAGACTAGGTGGTACTTACCCAGGGCTGCAAGAGAGGTCAACAGAAGAAACCTGAGCATATCTGCAGTCTCCTTAAACTTTCTGTCCTGACAACCTCTGTCCAATGCCCTTTTATACCCTCAGGTCAGCTAAATCTGGGAGTGTTGTGAATTACGTGTTCAATGCCACCCTACTCCACCTGGGCAGATCCAACAGTTATCGTCAGAGTAACTCCAACAATGTGGCAGGAGGGTACAGACTGCATTTATTGAAAGAATAGTTGGTACAGGGTGTAACAGTTTTTCTTTCTAAGAAATACTGAAAGATTCCCTCTTCAATTTTGTGTACAAATTTATTTTACCTGCACATCATATGTTTAAGAGTCAGAGTAATGATTCATGATCATTTCTATTTCATGAAATGTTTTGCTACTTTCAAAAGTGAAAATGCTTCAGATTCATAGACTCATTATGAGATATGTACTGCTAACTCAGTATCTACTCAAGAGAATTAGATTTCCTCCTCTTCCTTTTTGGAAGAGGAGGACGCAATCTTAATAAACATGGGGCTAGCTACTCGCTGCAAACCTTTTTTATTTTATCAACAAGGACAGCAACAGGATCATCACGTCAGAAGAACAGGCTCAAGGATGTGACCAGGATGGAACGCTCCCGGATCAGGAGCACAATATTCCAAAACAAGCTGATAAATCGACTGGAGATGGAGCGACTGCTTCCCTCGCTCCTTCCCCCCTCCCTCTCTGCTCCTCCAAGCATTCACAGGATTCAATGGATACCAATGAAGAAATGTCTTCCGGACCAGAGTTTCTTAAATTTACAGATGAATGAATCAACAGGTTCGCCTCGGCACGTCTCTCCTTAGCACTCACGTAGCAGACCTCACTACATTTAAGCAACCTGCCCCTGACTTCCCAGAGGATCCATCACTCTGCGTTTCTGAGGTCTGAGGCCGGGGACCAGATATTATCTTTACACCCTGTCTCCATCCAGAATGTGTCTGGCCCCCGGGTACTGCAGAACAGGACATTACCTGTCCGGATCACTACAAGAAAATTTACAAAAACCAGAAATATGAAATACAGCGGTCCTAATTCAAACCTCAGTGATCCCCTGCCTAAAGGAACCTCAGACTGAAAATCTTTTGGCCTCCAAGCCACTTAAAGTAGTTCTTTTAAATATCAGATCACTCTGTGCTAAAGCTCTGTTAATTAATGATTTCATCACTGAGTATAATGTTGATGTTATGTTTCTGACAGAAACATGGTTGAATGACTATAATGACCAAATTGTACTCATTGAATCAGCGCCTCCTGACTACAATTTTTTAAGTGAGAATAGAAAACATAAAAAAGGAGGAGGTGGCTTCTATATTTAAAAATACCATAAACTGTAGTAAAAAATCTTTCGGTCATTTCACATCTTTTGAGTATCTTGGAATTCAGGTTAAACGCTTCAAACGAACTTTGACACTAACTTTATACAAAACTCCAACATGTGGAAAATTTCTTTACTGACTTTAATTCTTCTTTCTCTCATATGCATTGATTATGATTGTTTAATAATTGTTGGTGATTTTAACATTCATGTGGACAAACCCGAAAACAGAGGAGCAAAAAAGCTCTCTGATATTTTAGAAAATTTTGGTTTAACACAACATGTTAAACAAGCAACACACACTCAAGGACACACAATGGACTGGTTATCAGTAAGGGTGTGAATATTTCCAATGTCTCTGTAATTGATGTCGCCCTGTCGGATCAATTCGCTGTTATCTTTGAAGTTTCTTTATTCTTTGACCCACTTGGACAAACAGCTACTATCACAAAACGTTCTTTCACAGAAAACACAGCAGAAACATTTAATCAAATCTACTCTTCCTCCTCACCCTTAAGCTGTAATGATGTAGATCAGTTGTTAGATGATTTTCAGTCTAAAGTTTTCATATATCATTGATTCCATTGCTCCAATTAAAGTAAAGTTTTGACTGGTAGAAAGAAATCTCCATGGAGAAATGCCAAATAGTTCGGTCTGCAAGACAAGTCTGCCGCAGGGCAGAACGACAATGGCGTAAAACTCAACTTCACGTTCATCACGACATCTACAAAGAAAAACTACGTAACTATCACTTAACACTAAAACATGGAAGGGAGGCTTTCTTTGCAGATGTCATAAACAAAAACATCAATAATGCTCGAACTTTATTTGCAACAGTTGACAGGCTCACAAACCCTCCTGTGACGTTTCCACCTGAATTCCAATCTAATGTTGCCTGTAATACGTTTTCTGATTTCTTTTCAGAGAAATCCAAAAAATCAGAGGATTAATCTGCACATCAACTTCAAAGCCAGAACCATTGCTGTACCAAAACAAAACAAATACAGAAAAAATGACCCATTTTCAACTACTTAATTATAAAACGCTAGAAGAAATTATAAGTCAATTAAGTTCAAGCTCCTGCTGTCTGGATGTCCTTCCCACACATTTCTTTAAGAAAGTCCTGCCTGTTATTGCTGCTGATCTGATCCAAATCGTAAACTCATCGCTTACATCAGGTGTTTTCCCCCAGGCTTTGAAAACAGCAGTCATCAAACCACTGTTAAAAAAGAACAATCTGGACAAATTACTATTGCAGAATTACAGGCCAATCTCAAACCTCCCATTCATCAGCAAAGTTATTGAAAAAACTGTGTGTAAACAATTAAATAGTTTCCTCATGATGACCAACTGCTTTGACACTTTCCAGTCTGGTTTTCGTGCTCACCACAGCACGGAGACTGCCCTCGTAAAAGTATTCAATGATATCCATATAAATACGGACTGTGGGAGAACCACGGTGCTGGTTCTGTTGGACCTCAGTGCAGCTTTTGACACTGTCGACCATGACATATTACTGAATCGACTTGAAAGTTGGGTTGGACTCTCTGGTTCGGTGCTCGACTGGTTTGAATCCTACATAAAGAACAGGGATTTCTTTGTTTCAATTGGAAACTTCTCATCAAAGAGGTCAAAGGTCACATGTAGGGTACCCCAAGGTTCAATCCTAGGACCCCTCTTATTTAATATTTATATTCTCCCACTAGCTCAGGTCATAACAGGAAATAATATTAGCTACCACAACTATGCGGATGAGACACAGCTCTACATTACGATGTCACCAGGTGACTCTGAACCCATCCAATCACTGAATAAATGCTTAGAGCAGATAAATGTGTGGATGTGCCAAAACTTTCTCCAACTGAACAAAAATAAAACTGAAGTCATTATTTTTGGACCTAAAGAGGAACGATCTAGAGTCAATGCACAGCTTCAGTTATTACAACTAAACCTAACGATCAGGCCCGAAACCTGGGAGTAGTGATGGACTCGGACTTGAACCTCCAGAGCCACATAAACAGTAACAAAATCGGCCTTCTATCACCTGAAGACATCTCCAGGATTAGAGGACTAATGTCTCAGCCAGATCTAGAGAAACTCATCCATGCGTTTGTCTTTAGTCGCATTGATTATTGCAACAGCATCTTCACAGGCCTGTCCAACAAATCAATCAAACAGCTGCAACTGATCCAGAATGCTGCTGCTCGCGTTCTCACTAGAACCAGGAAAATAGAGACATAACACCAGTTTTAAAGTCCCTCCACTGGCTCCCTGTAGCTCAAAGAATAGATTTTAAAATACTGTTGTTAGTTTACAAATCACTGAATGGTTTAGCACCACAATACATCAAAGATCTGCTGTTGTTGTATCAACCTTCCAGACCTCTCAGGTCTTCTGGTTCTGGTCTGCTCTGCATCCCCAGAACCAGAACCAAAAGAGAGAAACAGCTTTCAGCATCTATGGACCAAAAATTTGGAACAAACTTCCAGAAAACTGTAAAACAGCGGAAACCCTGACTTCCTTCAAATCTCAAGTAAAAACGCACCTGTTTAGAGTTGCATTTGAAATGTAATATGTATGGATTTGATTTTGTGGATATGTATGTAATTTTTTTTTTTTTTTTTTTCTGTTGTGGGCAACGGGGCCCGGCGAATACCCGTGGTTAAACGGACGGCGGAGTCCGGCGGTAACAGGCGCTTAAATTCCGTGTCAAAGGGAAGGGGGAAGAAAGGGAAAAAAGAGGGAAAAAAAAAACAAAAACAAAAAAAAAACCTTGGTATTTTATTCTATGTTGCATGCCTTTGTGTTTTGTGTTTATGATGTAAAGCACTTTGAAATGCCTTGTAGCTGAAATGTGCTATACAAATAAAAATTGATTGATTGATTGATTGATTGATTGATTGATTGATTGATTGATTGATTGATTGATTGATTGATTGATTCAATCATGCACCTGTGTTTTTTCTCACAGTGTTATCAAAGCACACCTGTTGCATATGTTAAGACCAATCTAGGAGATATGACTTCTAGTGACTTACAGCATGTTGAAATGTATTTGTAAACATATTTTGTAATCTTTCTTAAACAAAACCAAGAGTTATAGTGTTGTTTGTTGATGCCTGGTTATATTTTTTCCAGCCTGAGCCAGTTGTCCTATGTTAGCCTATCCCATTGATATCACAGTTCTACAGAGAAATGGTTGTGACATGATGGAAACACATGACTTTTTGATGTATGCTCAAAAATGAGTAAGCAGAGTAAACAAGTTGTATTACCTAGCAGGTCAGAAAACATACAAATGGACAAAATACCTCCTGTGTTAATGACCAAGAAAGTCCACTGTGGTCCCTGAAATCAATTTAAATTGATTAAAATACTATTATCAAAAATATATTACAATTTTTTTTTGCATTTTTTTTTTATTGTAAAAATGAATATCAGTATATGAATGTTTTCACTGAAATAAAACTACAAAATAAGATTAATTTAAAAGCTTTAAAGATCACAGATAAAAGCTGTAATAAATGTAGAACATTTTATTTTTTTTATGTATGATATCTGGAGTCTCAGGGGTTAAGGACATCCATTGGCATCTGCATCAGAAATGTAGATGGTTTTGAACTTTTCAAGCAGTCTTATATGCTTCTCTAGTTCAGTCAGTTGCTCCTCCATGTGGATCTTGCGGGCTTTCTGCGATGGGGTGTACAGGATGAAAGGAAGGCCCTGATATTCATGATGCACTTCATGCCATTTCTTCTTCAAGCCCTAACAAGAAGACGGGAACTTGGCATTAGACATTATTCGATATTTACATTCCTTTGACTTCCTGTCCAATTTTATTTACTTCACCAGAGGTTTTAGTTGTTAGATGTCTGTTGTTAAAGAAAACAAATGCTGCATACCTCTATGGTAGCTTTTCGCTCTTCCTCTGACACTTGTCGTGTGGCCTGCATCTCCTTTTCAAGTCTCGCCTGGTCATCCCTAGCCTGCTGTTCAGCTGCACGGCGCTGTTGTAAGTATGTGGGTACCTGACCATAATCCTGCAGGAACGAAAAATAAGCTTCACGTCCAACTATAATTTGCTCAAATGTTCAAATGGCCTCCTACATGGAAAATGTGGCTGTTAACAGTTGGACTTAGGGAGGTTCTGAATATTATGCCATGTTCAATTCATAAAGGAGATAACATCCGAGTGCTGTTGGTCAGTCACTGAAAGGTTAGGGAGGAGAGAAATAGCACTCATGGCCCAGGACTTGTCAACATTAGCCACACTTTTCAAAGAGTGAAGTGACAGGATGCAGAAAAATACCTTTTTTATGATATATTTGGGGCTAAGTCCAGCGCTTTGGAGAAGCTCTTTGTGTGCCTGTGCAAAGTCTACACGAGAGGGCTTAGGCTTCACATCAGCTAAGAGATCTCTCTTGATTGGAGTCAGTGGTTGGTTGGCCAGTATATGGAGCGGTGGCCTTACTTTAGTGATCGTACTGGTTTTATGGATGCCTTCAGTCCCTGTCCCTAAAAAAAAAGCATATATCAGGTGGGTTATATTGACAGCACAAAAGCAAATCCTCATGCAGTTGGTTGAGGAACTAACTCTCAGGAGCTTTGGGGCGCTTTGCGTTTTTCTTGAGGTAGTTCGACGGAGAAGGCAATTCAAGTTTTGCTAGTCCCATCGTCTTCCAAGCCTGTTTGACTGGTTTCTGCTCAAGCAGAATAGCTGCCAGATGCTTGGGTACATACCTTTAGTAAGATATGATGACAGAATATACTCAATAACACTTGAGGAAAAAAAACAAACAAAAAGAAATAAAACAGAATTCTGAAATTTTAATTCAGTAAAAGTAGCAATATTTCATACTCATGTTACTCAATTAAAAGTAAAAACTATCGCATAAAAAAACTACTCCTAAAAGTTTTTTTATTTGTTTGTGTATTCGTTTGTCTTTCAAAAAGTTAGTCAAGTAAATATAACTACTTACCTCTGGTCACACATATAGCTTTAACAAATTGTTAAATAAATGTAACATTGCCTGGTTGTTGTAAGTTAGGCCCTGTTTACATGGCAATAATCCAACGAAAATGGAATTTTTGTTTCATTTCTATTAACACATTTACATGAAGCCATTCTAATTACAATCTTTGTTTACACAGTAACGGTACACATCGAAAACGTGTAATGCTCTCGTCACGCCACTAGTTGGTGCTAGGTTCTTTGAAACTAAGTGCGCATGTGTTTAAAAAACAAAAGTTTTACTTGAAAGCACATCGATTCGCATTTCCCCATCAGATACCGTTCCCCCAGATACCGGGAGAAAAACACGCACTATGTGCGTCAGATGAGGGTGCGGTTGAAAAACCCGCACCCTAATCAGGTGCTGATTGCGGTTGGAATCAGGTGCAATCAGGTGCACCGGTTGGAATCAGCAACAACGCTTTGCTGAAACACGTTGTTTGAGCTTTTACGGTGTCCGTAGTTCTCTAGATAAGAGTGCGGAACAAACACGTGTATTTTGCAACCTGGGTTTGGAGCGGCGAAGAGACGCTGAGGGAACCGTATCTGATGGGGAAACGCGAACTGTAACAACACCATGTCAGTAGTTTCTTCTTCTTCTTCTATGTTTTTGCGTCATACTCTGCAGGAGCTAGGGATTCCCAGGGAGAAAAGATCCATTTCCTCTGTTTACAAGACAACGGACACCTGTACGTGTCAGAACCATAGCACTATGGAACCCGTTTTCAATCTGGGCAATTTTCTGAGAAAACATTCGGTGGGTTCATGTAAATGTACTGTAAACGCAACAAAACGTCCATGCTCACCAGAAATTGTTGTGTAAACAGGGCCTTTTATCTGCAACGTTTGTGTTATTGTAAACAACAAGAGAATCACTCTTTTCTCACGTAAGTCTGGCAGAAATAAAAGTCAGTCACCAAACACAGTTTTCCCAACACGTAGTGTGTATGTAAAGGTTTTTGTGAATTTGGAAACAGTTGTTCTTTATTCCCCAAGGTTATGGAGTAAAGAGAGGAAATAATGGATGATTCAGCAGCCTGAAATATTCTGTTCCCCCTCCATAAAATGGGAACAAATTATTTTACCTGCAAATGCTTAACTTTGCTTATTCCTCTCATCATCAACAATAAATCCCGTGAATTTGGTAGAATTTGTTCTTTGCTAGCCAGAGTTATGGGGGGGTAACCATATATTTCAGCTGGCTAAAATATTCCGTTCCCCCGCCATAAAATGGGAGCAAATTATTTTACCTGCAAATGCTTAACTGTGCTTATTCCTCTCATCATCAACAATAAATCCCGTGAATTTGGTAGAATTTGTTCTTTGCTAGCCAGAGTTATGGGGGGGTAACCATATATTTCAGCTGGCTAAAATATTCCGTTCCCCCTCCATAAAATGGGAACAAATTATTTTACCTGCAAATGCTTAACTGTGCTTATTCCTCTCATCATCAACAATAAATCCTGTGAATTTGGTATCATTTGGTCTTATTTTGCCAGAGTTATGAGGGGGGAACCATATATTCAGCTGGCTAAAATATTCCGTTCCCCCTTCATAAATGGGAACAAATTATTTTACCTGCAAATGCTTAACTGTGCTTATTCCTCTCATCATCAACAATAAATCCTGTGAATTTGGTATCATTTGGTCTTATTTTGTTTTCTTTATTCGACATTGAGTTTTCCACAAAAATACAGGCTACAGGAAGATCTAATAAACCATGAGTTTGGTAATGATTGATTAAAGTGGCTCAACGTCGCCTTTTTGTTGGCGTCTTGGATGCAAGTGATTGTCCTTTTCTCTTTTTTGCTCCAGAAGTCTTGGATTTTGATGGCTTGGTCATATTTTCTGATCCTGTTGGTTGAAATAAACAAAGACTGAATTTCACAGTTAATCAGATATAAAAATGGCAAAGTGATGCATTCATGATACCTGGGAAAAGTTTAATCCTCAACAAACCATAAACTTTAATATCTTCAATGTGCTTTTCAGTGCATGTTTTGTAAAGTAAAAGGAAGATAAGATAGTTTTTGCAAGTATAGATGTGAGTTTTGTGTATTGTGCGTATGTACTCATTAACAATGCCTAAATCCAGTACAACCAATTGATTTCAGTGTAGACCCACTGTATATATTTTAAGCATCAATTAGATTAACTTGAAGTCAGAATGACATTAAGATTTTGAGGTAAATGGAGGATAATCCTGACCAAAAAAAAAAAAAAAAAAAAATTCTAAAAAACTACAAACTGGGCAGGAGTTTCACCTTTCACCAGGGGAACCCTAACTATACAGCCAGGGCTGCAATGGAAACGTTTATATCAGGGTGGGAGAAAATTCAAATAATTTAAAATTTGAGTTGAACAGTTATCCAGATAGATAATATAAGATGAACTCATCTAACGTCTATAAGTTTGTTGTCAACAAAATAAATGGTACCTTTCTTTGGGCTTTTTCCTTTAGGGGATCTTTTTCTTGTTCGCGGTAAAGCCTTCTTCTTTGGTTTTACTGCTTTTTGGACAGTCTCCAGCTCCACCTCCACAGGATAATGATCACTGATGTTTCCAGCCTTGGAGAGTGAAAACATAAATTATAAATCTTTGCACCTATTATGTGCTCTAAAATGTCTGAAAGTGTCAACCATTTCTCTGTGATGCAGTATTGCTAAACAATGATGACAATAAAGCATACGTTTTCGTCTGTTAGCCCAAACTCCACTTGAAAGTTGAAAGACTTTGCAGAGTCAGGAACAATGGCACCCAGCATTTCTTCCCCATACACCACAATCCTATTTGAAGAAGATAGTATCACAAAGCAGTTTATTGGTGCAGTTTTCAACATATCTCCAAATACATCTACACATTTACATTTACTTATAAATTATTAGATAGAACTTTTAGCAACAGTAGACATGTTTTGCAGTTCATGATTTTTTAGAGGGAATAAAATTCAACAATACAGACTCAGTGAGGTGAAGAAAGTATGCTATTTTTAAGATCTAACTGAGGCAGGGCACAATCCTAGAGGTCACCAGGGTCTGATACTAAATAATGAGGGGATCTATAACAAAAATGACAAGATAAAAAAAATCTATAAAAATCAAGGTAATTCATGGGAGGTAATTTACTGTAACCTACCTGTAAACCTCAACAAGCTTAGACAAATTTTGAAATGAGAATATTGAAACATCCTTCTCTAGCAAGATGATGATTTCAATTTATTTCAAGGAATTAAATATAAGGAATTTATTGTTACACAAAGTGTGATAAAAATGTGCACAGTGTGTATTCATGACACACAGATGTGATGTAAACTCGTTATCTAATTCCAAGACAAAGTCATTTTTATTTTGTCCTGATTCAGGACAAATAAAAGTAGCAATCTGTCGTTTTATTAATGTTGTAGAAACAAAGATAGGTGTCCTTGGCACCTAACATGTATCTTTACCTGTCGTAGGTGTTGTCATTATAATTACTAGTCGTGGTGTCAACATCGTCATCTATCAACCAGTAGAAGGGATCAGAAGAGATGCGGATTGATTCCTTTTTCTTCTTGGAAAGTTATCGACCATCTGCGTTGAAGTCCCCCAATATCATGATATTCTGCCAAGGACAAAAAATAAAAGTCAAACCACACATTACTGTACACAAGTATTTAAAGTAGTGATGATTGTTAGTGTTTGTAAGCAAAACAGCAATTTTACATTTTATCCTCCTCCCCCAAGATTTCTTTCATTAGTAGACTTCTCAGTTTAGTGTTAAAAGACATTAAAAAAGATCCACTGACCTCTTACTGTTTGTAATAACAGAAAAAGTCCATAATAAATGGGAGAAAACCATGGCGTTATTCAATGAGTGATTTACCAAGCATATTATCCAGCATCTCACTCACATTTTTAACAAGACAGTGACCCTTGGAGTTTGAAAACTCTCTCCTCTGAGTTACAGTGGAGAGACGGCTGAAATGATTAACTTTTGGCTGAATTTTAGCAAAGCTATTAATAAAAACTCTAATATTATCCTACAATTTTCAAGTTGCATATCTTTATATAGAATGTAACAACTTACATTTGTTTTCCACTTCTGTCTGACAGCATTGACCACATCGTAAAGCTCATCAAGTTCCTTTACTGAGTCTTCTGGCTTGGTGTGGACCGGAATCAGGACCAGGTCTTTTACAACTGAAAGTGGACATGAAAGCAAATAACATAGACCCAGATCCACAGTGCACCTAAATAGATGTGAGCTCAAATAAATATTTAGGTTTAAAATAAGTAGAGGCCTCAGTTTAGTGTTTTCACATGTCATGTCAAAATGTCTCCTATTTCACATGATCTCAGTCCTTTTAAGCCCCAAATAAAACACAACATTTGACCATACATTCATAGCCGATATGTTTATAACAGTTATCCATAAGGTATTTACTCTGTACAAACTGCAACACATACCACATTGGATGGACGGATGAATTATAATTGTATGCAGTATATAGGAATCAAAGTATGTGCATAAAAGTAGCTTTCATTTTCAAACTTATACACATTTGGAAAATATTTAGTCAAATTTCATATGTTTCCAAACTGTGTAGAAACCCTGTCATATCACTGTAAAAAACTGACATATGGTAGTATTTAGTAATGATAATCTGCTCTCTCTGGTGCAGCACAGGACCATATATATTCATTACTGTATGACTTTCTGAAGTGCTCATTACAAGAACATTTTTCATGACTCACCATTAGATTTGAATGAAACAAATGTTACAGGCTTATAAAGATAAACCACAGTGGTTTGACTGCAGTGAAACCATGATCTTGATGATTTAAAAGAATTTAGCTGAGAATATGTTGTAATATTTTATAACCTAACCTATTTTATAACCTAACTTAAGTAAAACTATAATATTGTATTTTTAGTGTAGGGAGAGTAAGAGTAAGGGTTTCATCGTGACTTTTACAACTTATCTATCATAGAATGAGTCAAATGAATCTGTCATAAAGAAAGGTAGGATATGAAGACTGGCAAAAAGAGCCGTCATCATATCCTTGCAAATTGTCTGATGAACTGTTTTGTGCACTGTGAGCTGGCATTTCATTAATGTGGAACAGCACACACCTGTGGAGGGA